CCAGGGGCAAGCGAGTGCAGCAGGAGCCATTCCCTCAAGTGTGTCCCATGTCTGGGGACAGCCCATGGGCTCTTCCCTGGTGTTTGTGGCCAGGGCCAGTGGCCACCGTGTCACAGACCTGAGTGGGGCAGCTGGGGGCTTGTAGAGGGGAGGCAGCAGGGTTGGCACAGGTGCCTGTCCCCGAGCGGGCCCCTCTGGCAGAGCAGGGTGTTAGCGCTCTGGGTGTCTGTGGGGTGGCCCTGGGGTGCCGTGTGCCCCCAGCCTCAGGAGGGCATTTGGGCCCCAGCAGCCAGTTTAATGAGCCATGAAAGGCTCTGCAAGGTCTGTCTGTCTGTTCCTGGTCTGTCTGTCAATCCTCTCCAGCATTAGCACCAACACTGCCAGGCAAGCAGCCCCTCTCTCCGGCTGTGTGTCCCTGCCTGCCCTCCTGCCCGCTCCCAGCTGCAGCCAGCCAGCGGGGTTGGACCTGCAGCAGACGTGCCCTCGTTGGCATCCCCATCCCCGCTGAGGGCAGCCTGGGATGGATTTTTTTCTGGAGTGGTGGGAGATACGGGGAGAGACGAGGGTGCCTGGCCAAACAGCACTGAAGGGTCTTCCAGCCCCGTCGCTCCCCAGGGACCGTGGTGGATCTGCAGGGAGGGATGCTGGTGGTCTAGCTTGTCTCCAAGCCTGGCAGCTGCCTTCCCCGGCCCTGCCTGCAGGTGGTGCTGTGGGTTTCAGAGGTCTCTGTCCTGCCTGTCCTAGAGCCCAGCAATAGCCAAGGTCCCTGCTTCCACAGGCACTGGATCTATAAGGGGATATCTATAAGGGGATAGAGGGGTGGGCTGTGCTGCGCCGGGGTCCCTGTGCAGGCTTGGCAGAGCCTGTGGTTCCTCCCCATTTCAGGTGTAGCTAACGCATCCCTTTGCAACCGTGTTTTTACTAGACTAATAAACCTATCATAGGACCCCGGTGGTGTCTCTGAGCTCTGCCCAGCGCCTGGAAAACCTCAGAGAGATGGCATGTCCTGCCTATCCCGCCGGGCTGAGGAGTGGCAGGCCCCAGGGCTGGTGGCCCGTGTCCCTGCAGGATGGCAGCCGGTTTGCTGGGTGATGGTGACAAGGAAGGGCTCAAGTCTGCATCCACCTGTGGCTGTTAAATGCTGAGCATTTCATGTCTGCGGCGTGTCTGCTGGGGCAGGGGGTTTGGCTGTCAGCAGGGAGCAACCCGTAGCCCCAGTGCTAGAAGCATCAGGGAGTTTCCAGTCCACGGCCATAAGTACAGGACCGTGCGGGGGACACAGGCCAGCTGAGCGGATGGAGGATACTTGCCA